GTGTGACTGTAAATAGTGAGTTTATCTGTGTATACTACACATTTATACTTATTATCTTTCCAGTAATCAGAACAAATGTAATTAGACCAAGAGTCTTATAAATGTAACTTTAACATTTGCCTGTTGATGGACACCTTTGTGACACACTTTGACCTTTGATTCCTGTCTGAATCTGAAAAAGTGCAGTAAATTAGATAAATATAACAACATAAGCAATTCAGGTTTTACACCTTGTTTAAATATGTCCTTCCTACATTTCAGGAACAGATCCAAGAATTGTGGCTGGTGCAGTTATTGGAGGTGTAGCACTGTTTGCAATTACAGTGCTCATTGTACAAGTCCTGTGGTCCTACATAAAAGGAAGAAGGTACAGTATAGAATTTGATCTTATTCATCTGGAGAAGTAAGACTAAAATTAGGATGAACTGGACTTGATTGTCAGTGATGGATTGTAAGTTCTTACTGAATGCTGTTTAATTTCATTTATTTTTAAATTTATCTTTTTCAGAAAAATTGAGTTTTCAAAAGAAGAGGACAAAAATGAAGCCTTCGAACCTGAATCCCGGGTGTAATATTTTACATATTCATGTCCTCATCTGCTGAAAAGAGAAGTCTTTTCCAAGAATGAGTTTTCACCTTTCATTAAATGTAGAGACCTGAACAAACCTGTTATAATTACAGGTTTAGGGAAAGAGCAGATTTCATTGTTCTTAGGAAATGCACTGTTTTTCTTTTTGTTGTAAACCTTGTAAACTACACACATAAATAATAAGGTCGAGCAAAAGTCCCTGCACAGTTTAAGAATGACTGCACACGTGGCAGGCTGAGGGTTAGAGTTTGTGTTCATCTCCTTTGCTGTAAGTCATGAAGATGAAGATGATGATGAAGATGCTCTGGGTTTCATTTAGAAACATACCAAGTTTACTGGTAAAACTCCAATGAAGTGCTGCTTGCTGTTGTGGAAACGTTCCATTATTGATAGTCATATAAGCTCTCAGGAAATATGTACTGTAAATCCATCCATCCATTATCTATACAACGCCTAATCCCCACTAGGGTCGCGGGGGGGCTGGAGTTTATCCCAGCTGACTCAGGACGAAGGCAGGGGACACCCTGGACAGTTCACCAGTCTATCACAGGGCTACACTTAGAGACAAACTGTACTGTAAATGTTTGTTGTTGTTGTTTTTTTCTTGGACAATAAAGCTATTTAAATACAACACATTCTGTAGCTTCCTAAAATGATATATCTCCAGTCTAACTGCACTTCATGCCACACAGTTGAGATAAACCATAACAGCACTGTTATAATTAAATATGATTCAAGCTATTATGTGTTCGGAGTCTGTATTTTTCCATGAAGCCTATGGTTCTTATAATTAATTAAGTTTCAAGTTATTATGTATTCTGAGTTTGTATTTTGTACTGAGCTTATGTCCTTGAAGATAATGTGGCCGGTGAGAACTGGTTTGCACACCTGGAGATAGTGGAAACTCCTCTTTTCTCTTAAATACGATTGTTGCTTTAGCTACACGCCGTACCAACAACATCCGCACACATTGCTTACCAAATATCAAGGACGTGGACAGAGCGCAGAAGGATGCCTGTCCACACCATTAGTAACTGGCCAATTAAATCTTATCTATGTTCGGCGCAGGCCCAGCCCAAGAAGATATCTGTAACCTGGAACCGAAAACACTCAGTTCAGCTGGACATGAGAGCACTCTCTGTCTGCCCGAATCCAGCGCTGTAAAACTTTACCTGTGACCTGAATAAACTGTTTAACTTGAGACCTGAACTTTTCTCCGACTATTCCTTGGAGCTGTTTCAACAAAAGAACTGGGTCTAACAGCACGTTGTTGTGAACTTCAAATCAGCCCTTTTTTTAGAACAGTGCTGCACCTTTTCTGAAGATATACACTCAGGTTTGGTCACAAAATAACATAGAAGATAGCAGCTAGCAACAGTGAATAAATACTAAGTGTGGTGGCTGATTGATGTATCAATGAGGCTGATTGATTGCTGTTTTGTGACGCAACCATCGTGGCCTAAAGAAAGTTTTGAAGAACCCCTCGACTGAAAACCAAGTTTTTTTTTACCTCGTTTACATGTCCATGTAATGTTTTTCATATGCTGTAACATAAATCATGAGCAAAGTGAGCAGTCGATGTCATGGCTGAGCACTTGAAACTGCAGTGTCCCAATGAGAGTCTCAAACGCACGGATTCAGACTTCCAGGGTTTCATATGTAACAAACTAAAGGAACCAATCCTGTCAGTTTGCATCGTGAGACTTCCTGCATCATTTTTTTTTTGTCTTCCTAATTTGCTTTCAGATCTAAGTTGTGCGGCCAAATCACTCCAACAATTCAACTTTCCACTGTGTTGTGTTTCGAGCAGCTTTACGGTGTTTGAGCAGAGTCGTAGGTGAGCTGGTGTGCTGGAGCTGCAGTGACAGTGTGGAGTTACGACTGAACCATTTTAAGGCAGGGAGGAATCGCTTTCATGAAAAACAACAACTTCTAAATGTGTAACAACGATAGACAAAGATTAATTTTTTTGATTGAGCAGAGAGGAAGTCAGACATAACAGACGAGCGTTTGATTTGAAGTACTGGGCATATATGAGATAACTCATGTTGCTGTCAAAGTATTGCCTCATCGCTCGTAGTTTTATCATATTGCTTACTCTTATTACTTTCTGATGTGGTGACACTTTATTTCTACCACTCATTCCTCATTATTGCTGGTTAATATCTTTGACTAATGCTTTGTATGACCACAGATGAACAGGCTGCAGATATTGCCTCAGTAATAACTACCCTCCCTCTCTGATGGCACATTGATTTATCCCTCTAAAGCCCAGTTCATTATTTGCCCAACATGTCACCCGTGAAGACGTAGCTGCCGATGTCAAATTCCTCACCACTGCCCCACTGCGTCAGTCTTTCTGTCCACCACTTTGTCCTGGGACTAAACAAGTCTTTCACTTTGCGATATGCTTGTCCTGCATCACGTGATCATGTTTACTTGAACTCGAGTTTTGTCTTCAGTCTTGGGTTGAGACACTGGAAGTAACACTGTTGTTTACCGTAAGGCCCTGAATGTTCCCTCACATAACACAAGGCTGTGATTTCTATGGACAAAGAGCACCAGTATGTGACAAGACTGCAGAGGCCACCGCTGAATAAACTGTCTGCTTGCTGCTTCTGGAGTCATTCACCAACAACTTGCCACGGACACTCAAGAGATATAAATACAAATAATTAGCATTATCCTCGCCTCGTCCCGGGGCAACAGAGGAGTAACACCCCAGCTCATCACATATCAAGCCATTCTCATGCCTTAGATCACACTTACTGCTGCGCAAGTGTTAGAATGAATCAGCTGGGTATATAAACTGTGTGAGCGGAGCATTGCAGATGCCAAAGCAGCCTCCCTCCCCAGACCTCCAGTTCTGTTTGGGTTTGATAGTAAAAAAATACAGCTGCTCTATTGTTCAGTGTTCTGGTCATCAGTCTAGACTTGTTTGTCCGAGTGGAGCTACAGGCGTTGCAGTTTCAACACCGTTTGCCTTCACTCCGAGCTTATTCTCAAGGATATGTCCGAGCAAAATAAAATATTACCTCGTCCCATTTTCCGCCGAGATGTGAGCTGGGATCCTTTCCCAAACTGGACACAGCCGAGTCGTATCTTTGCTCAGGATTTTGGCCTCCCTCCTTTCCTGGAGCCGAGTGATCTGGACTGGATCGACTGGGCGAAGAGGAGACTGGCGTCTTTCTCCTGGCCGGGGTACGCGCAATCTCCCCTTCTGCCTCCTTTCACCGGTCAGCACCCTGCGGCGTTGGACCAAAAGGGTCTGAGGCAACTGACAAGCGGAGTGTCGGAAATCAGAACAGGGCAGGACAGCTGGAAGATTAACCTGGACGTCAATCACTTCTCGCCTGAGGAGATCACAATCACCACCAAGGAGGGCTATTTGCAAATCTCAGGTACTGCACATGTTGCTTTTATTGACCTCGAGCTAAATTTCTGATGACTTTTGTAAGGAAAAACAGAAAACAAGCTGTAAATGTTAAACAGTTTTTTTATCATTGTGGCTGTTTTTTCTTTCAAGGAAATCATGAAGAAAGGCAGGATGAGCACGGATTGGTCTCGAGGTGCTTCACTCGTAAATACAAGTAGGTTTTTCTGAGAGTATAGAGAGTGTTGAAATCCATATATCTGTTGATGTTGATGACGACGAGAGAGCAACTTAAACACAGACGACAGAGTACCCTGCAGCGACGACAGGCTTTAGTGACAGATCAAGAATGTTATCTGGTTAAATGAGCAGCTCTGAATGTACTGAACATATGCATAGAAGGCATATTGTAAGGGATTAGTGTTTGTTCGTTACTGTTAAACTTCCTCTACATTCGTTCCAGGTTGCCACAGGGGGTGGACCTGCAGCACATCAGTTCATCACTGTCGGGTGATGGCATCCTGTCCGTAGAGGCTCCGGTTCCTGGAACCTCCGTCACCAATCCGGGCAGCGAACTCGTCATCCCAGTTCAGATCAGACAGAAGCAGGACGGAGAAAAGTGAAACCAGTGAGGAAAATTTAAAACTGCAGTCAGACTTAGCGACTCTTTGTAGTAAAGAGAACAACCAGTTTGTTGCAGCTTATTAAAGGTGATTCACTAACAAACTGGTGTTCCTGCCGTGAGATACTGTCGCCACTGCCTCTTATTTACACTGTAAAACTGTTGAATCGATTAATTTCGTGTGTTCGCACTGAAACTGTGTACGCTGACGTCTTGAAGCTGATCATCAGCAAATGCATTAAACAACTTGTGTCACATAAATGGACAAATAATATAATGTTCTTCATTGGTGTCTTTTAGTTGTTTCTCAGCAGATTATAGGCTAAACAGGAACAAGTTTAATCTGTATTAATTGTTCATCCAGTGTACCGTTAAGTGTAAAATTTGGGGATTTATTTCCAAATCAAGAGATTTGTCTGTAATTTTTGAGTTCAAGTTTGTTTTACTGATGTAGATTGTTCTCAACAATATATCTCAAAGACCACATAACTGAGTACATCCTCCAAATTGCCTGTTGGTGGTTTATGTGGTTTCAAATTGGGTTCTGAAGATTTACTGCAAGCACGTTTTCTCAAACATTATGTATGACATGGAAATACATAATGTTGGGGAAAAAAAACAAACATCTTTTTTCAACTCAAATGCATGTGGAGCAAATTTTGAAGGAAATTATAATAAAAGTTATACAGCAAGTAGAAAATCTATGTAAAGTAACATCTGAAGGGGTCAGAAAGTCAGACGAGCTGAACTGATCGAGGCCACGTTCCTTAAAAAGTCTACAGTGACATCTAGTGGTAGAGCAGAATACTGCAGATCAAATCATTGTTAAAAGACAGTCCTGTTAAAAAAAACGTTTTTGGCTTGACTTCATCGGTGTTGATCAGTACACAAACAAACATTAGGCGTCAATGAAACAGACAACAAGAGTGGAAGCCGACATGTTTTATGAATGTAAAAAAAACAAAAAACAGCAGAGATGCAGATTAGATGTTTATGTGCAGTGCTGTGCAAAGGTTTCATGCATTTTAGATATTTAGATTCTTATTCATCAGGAAGGCATCTGATTGGCATCAAATTCATCCTGCAGCATGACAACAACCCCAAACACACGACCAGAGTCATGAAGAACTAACTTCAGTGGCAAGAAAAACCGGGATCTCTGGTCACAGCATCATGTTTCATCAAGTTTTCTCTTTACTGATCTTTGTATGAAGCTAACTGATAAATAAAAAACTATCTATGATGTGATTTTTCAAAGCATCCCCACTGTGCATCTGTGATGGAGGTTAAATGCCTGTGCTGACACTTCACCAGCTCTTCACAACAAACACTTTCCTGTTCTTGTTTTGATGTAATTAAATTACTGAATTTGTTTGGGGCGAAATTTTTGGGAGGAAAAATATATCTTATCATAATTTTGTCCTGGAATCTTCTATTTTATGAATGATAAGTCTGTTTCTTCTTTGTTTTTTTTTTTTTAATGAAAAGATTAAAACATCTTGAAATCATCACAGACAATGAGTAAACAGAAACTTCTTTACCTGCCATTTCATAAACCTCACAGTCAACAACAGGAAATAAGCCAATATAAATACATTTACTGGACTTTCCAGGACAAAATAAAAATCTTAAAGCTAGATGGGGTGAGGGCTGCAAGGTGGCACAGCTGGTAGCACCGTTGCCTCGCAGCAAGAAGGTCACTGGTTTGCGTCGCGGCGAGGACACCCGGGATCTTTCTGCAGTGCAGCGTGAGTTCTCTGGCTTCCTCCCACAAGTCCAAAAGTTGACCTTAATTGGTGATTCTAAATTGTCCGTAGGTGTGAATGTGAGTGTGCTTGGTTGTCTGTCCCTAAGTGTAGCCCCGTGATAGACTGGTGACCTGTCCAGGGTGTCCCCTGCCTTCGTCCTGCCAGCCCCCCCACAACCAATGGATGGATGGATGGATGGGTGATTAGTGTAAGTGGTCGCTATGTGGTCAGTCCTGTCATTTATAAGTTATTATGGTAGATTTCTGCATGTCGTTTTTGTCAAAAATGGTCACGTTCCAGAATGTCCTGAAAACGCATCAGGATGTAGTATATAGTGGGAAAAGTGTCCTGAATGTCTTTAAAGACAGCTTAGG